TTTAATCTTGTAAAACTCGAAAAAAAAATTATTATTATTAAAAAAATTCTAATTAAAGGGATAAAATAATAATTAATTTGGAGAGACGGCGAGACAGAGAGTGAGAGAGAGAGAAAAAGTGAGTGTTTGTTTTTTTTTATTTTTCTCTTTTCTTTTTCCTCAGATCTACGAAAATTGGACCGTTTAATCACTTCAGGCCAAAAATTAAAGTTGCTCTACTCAGCGAGAGCTACACAACCATACCAAAAATCGTATTTTTTTTCAAAAAAATATCAAAGCCGATAATTTAGACCTAAGGCTTAGGAAGCTAAATTTGGGCTTCCTTGGAGTTCTAGTAAGTGGGCTCACGCTACGAGAGGTAGGATTTCCTCTATTTAGATTTAATTTCAACTTAAAATATGGCATATGGAATAGGTAGGCTATGGGTATATATCACATGTTAGTCAAATATAAGATTTATAATTAACCTTGTAATTAATAAAATCCTATTGTGATTAACTTGGTGTAAGTTAATGTTAGTGATTTAAAGCATGTTAATTGTATATTAGCATTACTTTATATTTTAATGGCAGATCAAGTTTAATAAAATTATCAACTTGTTATGTGATTAGGAAATAATATGTATGTTAAATGATTATTTTGGTGGACTTGTGCTTATGGTTATATAATTAAAAAATATGTTGTCATGCTGAAAGTCATTGCATGCTAGTTGTGTAAATTGATATGCTCTTTAGGTGTTTGATTAAATGCCTAGGTGAATATAAGTATGTTAGTTGAGTTAATTATCTTACATAACATGTTTGAGATCGTGTTAAAATGTCATTATATTGTATTCATTATATAATGGACATTGTATTGCATTATGCATGAGTTGCATTACATTCATGGGCATTGACATGGGTGAGAGTGTATGCATGGTATGAAATCAATCACCACATAGGTGGTTGATCGTGGGCTCGAAAAAGTCACACCAAGGTTCGGCTAAGTCGCACGGAAAAATTAAATGAATAAATGTGTTGGGGACAACAAAAAAGGCTAGATTCTCCCTCGGGTGCAAGACCCGTTTACTTGGTTTATATACTTTTCGGCGGTGAAATTCCAGAAAAATGTAACAGCGGAAACGGAGCCGCAAGTGGGATGTCCTAAAGATCCATTGATGGTTGGTGTCCCATTGGTGTAATACCATAAATTACCTCCCCACAAAGATACAAGAAAATGAATTAATTAGTCATTGAGTGTACATAAACACCAATGATGAAGGCTTAGAATGCCCGGATACATACGCATGACATTGCATGTGTTATGAGAGCTCAGGATGGGGCTCGGGGTTGGTATTGCTTGCGTGAGTCTCACTCATGGCATGACATGATTTATGACATTCGATCATAATAGACATATTTGAATAAATGCATCAAATGATTGTTACATGTGACATTCCATATGCATTTAGGTTGAGAGGTATTCTCTATAGGATTTACCCTATTGAGAATTGGCTCACCCTTTATGAGAACATTTTTCAGGTATCGCACAGGCATCCACCGAAGGCGAGGCCATAGGCCCGCTTTGACGACAGAGCCGGTCTGTGGCTTTTATTTTGACATTGTAGTCCCTTGTTTATATTTACTTTTGGCCTTGTATAATTTTTGTAACAAAAACTTGTTTATATTTACAAAGGTATGTATATGAGACTCTTTTGGGATATTTATTCTTTTACGAATAAATGTATGTACTGATGATGATTATGGTAGTATTCGATACTATACAATTGTGAATGGATGGATAGAGTCAGTGTGGTCAATATTGTACAGGCTGCGTTTTAGGTAGAGCTCCTCGTACAAATGAGATTTTGCCCAAATTTTGTTAAGTTATGGATCCCAAGAAATGGGGCATAACGGTGTGGTATCGAATTACACAGTATCCACAAGTATTCCGCGGGTCGATGGGTGATCAATCGAATAATTACAGTCACCCGAATTTTGGGGTGTCACAAATATTTTATTATATAATAATGAATAATTAAATTTTGGAAGTCATAGAGATAAATTTTATCTAGTTAATATATAGTGATAAAATTTATCTAGCAAAAATTTTGAAATATTAGTGATAAAGTTTATTCAACAAAAAATTTGAAAGTCATAGAGATAAAGTTTATCTACTTAAAGTCTATCTGGCTAATATTTTGTAGGCATAATTGCCTTTAGTGTAATAATTATGAGTAAAATTAAAAATTAAAAATTTTTCGCAAATGCTGACATTTATAAGTAATATAGATATAGATATAGATATTTCCCATGTGTAAATGTCCATTTTTATAAAAAATTTTGATTAATTATATTACCCTTAAAAAAATATACATCATTATAGGTAAAATTGACCTAGATAAAATTTCTCTTTTTGATGCGTAGAGTAAAACTATATAGTTATTTCATTTCAACTTTCTGAGTTTTGAAAAACTAGTACAGTGCTCCAACAGATCTGAACTCTAGATTCAATCCTTTGCCATTTGCAGCTCATGGGTGCACTTTCCCATCCCTTAAATGTTTGCAAAAAAGCTAAATTCAATCTTCTCTGACACCATTTGGAAAGTGTTAAAGCCAAAGCATTTGACTTAACAAAAATTGCTCATAAAAAAAGAGAACGTCCAAGTAGTAGGACTTTTGTTGCTCGTTACAAGCAGCAAAACTTTCACAACCTATGATAATCCGTGGAATAATATCAAAGATGGTGAAACAAAAGTACAACACAACCAATGGAGATACTATATTTATTTTTATATTAGGGATAGGGATGTCCGGACACCTCGATTAATCCAAAATAAACTCAAAAGAGGATAAAATAGGATCATTAGATCTTTAAAGGATGAAAAAATCTCACTATTAAAGATTTAAGTATGAATTTGAATTTCTTGATTTGAGTAAAAAAATTAATCTTCATTTATTTGATATGGGTATGAGAGTTTTTTATCTAAATTTAAATTTGGATTTAAAAAAAGGCAAGGATTGAAGATGCTTTAAATATTAATAGTATAATATTTATATTTTAAAATATATTTTTTTTTATTTTACAATTTAAAATTAAGTCAATAGAGAAAATAATAAAGGAGAATCACGGAGAAAAAAAATAAAGATAAGTGTATAATAGGAAAGAAATATTGGGTATAACGATGATGCTACGTCATCATTATCTCGTAGTGTAAAACTAAATAGTTATTTCATTTTACTTACGTGTGGTTTATAGTGTTACGCATCAACTTTCTCAGTTTTGAAAATAACACATAATTCTCTTGTCTTTTTGGACTAAAATACACCGTTTAACATTTCGTCCATGTCTTGTGTGAGAATGGGTGTGACTCTTGGTCTTTTTCTCTCTATTACAGAAAACTCTCTCGTGCACATAAGCCAATCTCCTCTCTCCTATGGATTGCCACAACCACTCACCATAACCCCTCTCACTGTCTCTGAGTAGCGCTCTCGGTCTCCATCCCACACTAACCCCCACTAGAAGAACAACAATCTAGCAATGTTGCCTAGGACTAAAACTTCTAGCTATAAGCATGTTATTATTTATGGAGAAGCTGATTTGGTCATCTACATGCAACTTACCAAATATAAACTATAGAAGAGAAAAATTATAAGTGGAGAAGGTGAATCCCACTTTTTTTACATGTTAGTTATTTTCTTACATCGGCAAAATAGTTATTGAATTAATGGGACACGGCTTATATAGATCACGAATGGGACGCATTACCAGCTCCTCTTGATTGCTCTTCAACTTAGCCGTAAGTCAACAGATGAAGAGAGTTTCGCAGAAATTGAGTAACTGGGTTCTCTGTACTTTCCATGATGACTGCCAAGCTTGTGGAGAAAGGCTCACTTACAAGGACTTGATTGTGGTATGCAAGAAAAAATTTTGGTACCATACTTTCAAATTTTATTATTTTTATAGGTATTTTTATAATATTTATGGGTCATTTTATAACCAACAAATTTATTATTTTAGTGAATCATTTATCACATTTGTTAATATTTTTATCACTACTGTGATAATTATTTTTATCACTTTTCTTTGGTAGAAAAAAATTATCACTTTTATGTGTGATTTATCATATTTATAAATATTTTTACGACTATTATGAGTTTTTTTTTTATCAATATTGTGATAATTATTTTTATTATTATTTTTTTATCACGACAATAATAAAAACACCCACAAATATATACCATTTAGACTCTTCAAAGTTCATGCCAACCAAATGCCACCAACTTTGTCACCAACTGTAAGCTTTCATTGGACCAAAGGAAAAGAAGATTAATATATGCAAAAACCTGTCTTTTTTTATGAAAAAGACTTGGTGTAAATCAAATCTTGTAGTCATGACAACTCATGGAACGTGTACGTTGGTTTTCACGCGTACCTTGACTGCCAAGTCAATTAAGGCTTGCCTGAGATACTTGTTCAACAAAATTTTTTTTGGATAAATTGCACTAACACCCCCTGAACTATTATTTTTTTTCACTTTGCTCCCTCAACCATCAAATTTTCTCACATTACACCCTCAACTAACACTATTATTTCACATTGCCCCAATTGCAAAGTCTGATATCTTTTTTGAATAAAATCACTGTTGTGCCATGGTAAAGAGAAAAAAACTGCATATTTTGGAGAACAAAATGAAACAACTTTGCACTAAGGGTGTAATGTAAAAAATCTGCTAGTTGAGGGGGATCAAGTGAAAAAAGGGTGATAGTTTAGGGGTATAAGTGTAATTTATCCTCCCCCCCCCCCCCTCTCCTCTCCCTTCTCCCTTCCTCTCTTTTTCTCCGCAGTGGTTGAAGTAAAAAATTCCTCTCTCTTTTTTTTGGCTAATGATCGTGTTGGACCCGACACCCACACGGTCAATTCAATAGACCATTCCATGGGGGAATGGAACCTATAGAGGCTTGGACAACATATATAAATAGCACTTAGATACACTCTAAAAACCCAACAAAAACTTACCAATCCAAGTGCTATACAGATAGAGTCCTTCAACCTGGCAGTGCTGAATTTGTTTATATATTTCAATCTCGAGCTCCATTTTTCTTGAGCACCGCAAAAATGATTGCTCGAAAAATGCCTAGTACAAAGACCATATTGTCCACGGCTGCCTCTCTTGCTGCATCGGCTATGCTTATCCGATCCATTGCCAATGAATTCCTCCCTGCTGAATTCCAACACTACTACATTTCTGCCATTCGTAATTTGAGTAATTACCTTTCTTCTCAATTCACCATTGTTATAGACGAATTCCGAGGGCACGCCATAAACGAATTGTTTCAGGCCGCTGATAAGTATTTGGGCACGATAACCACACCGTCCACTCAAAGGGTTAAGTTGGGGAAGGCCGAGGATGAGAAGAATCTAGCAATCACTGCGGATACAAATGTGGAGATTGTGGACATTTTTGAAGATGTCCAAGTCAAATGGATGTTGGTTTGTATGGAGTCGAAGGGTTATGAAACAGCAGGCTATGGACAGCAAGTGAGGGACCTAACAGCAACTCTCCGAGCAGAAGTCAGATCATATGAGTTAAGTTTTAACAAGAAATACAAAGAAAAGGTGTTGAATTCATACCTGCCATACGTTTTGGAGAGAGCTAAGATCATTGAAGAAGAGGGCAAGGCGATAAAGCTTCATACAGTGAGATACCAATACTGGGATGCGAAAGCAATCAAAATTGACCACCCCATGACCTTCGAGACCCTGGCAATGGATACAGAGATAAAGAAGGCATTGATAGAAGATTTGAATAATTATATCAATGGGAAGGAGTTTTACAGAAGAGTTGGAAAGGCTTGGAAACGTGGATACTTGTTGCATGGTCCTCCTGGAACGGGCAAGTCAAGCTTGATTGCAGCCATGGCTAATTACCTCAACTATGACATTTATGACTTGGATCTAACAGATGTCCAGTGTAACTCGGATCTAAGGTGCTTGTTGCTTGGCATGTCTAGCAGATCCATACTTGTCATTGAGGATATTGACTGCTCTATCAAGCTGCAAAACCGAGAATCTGAAGATGAAGATGAAGATGAAAATGAATCAAAATATCCCGAAAACAAGGTCAGCATTGCTATTGAAAATTAATAATGCAATCCCCTACTGCCAAGCATGTCACCCCCCAACTCCCACACACACAAAAAAAAAAAAAATTAAGGCCAAGAGGAATGACACAATTGAAAAAGCTTCCCAGAAGATCCCTTTGAAATGAATGGGATAATATGCAGTCTTTTGTATATTCAAATGATGGGATGACCACTATATAGTCCCCTTCGATAGGAGTAACAGAAGAAGACCCCATACTAATTAGTTCTCCCCATTACCTAAAGTGATTAGATGAAAAGCAGTAATGGGTCTCTGCTTTGTCTTTAATTTTATTATGGCCTACAGCTTTCATGTCTTATGCTTGTTATCTTTATTTCACCAGGTGACACTTTCCGGGATTCTTAACTTCATTGATGGCCTCTGGTCGTGCTGTGGATCCGAACGTCTCATTATTTTCACAACGAATCACAAAGATCGACTAGATCCTGCACTACTGAGACCCGGTCGTATGGATATGCACATCCATATGTCCTACTGCACCTTCTCGTCATTCAAGCAACTAGCCTTAAATTATCTGGGGCTTTGTAATCACGAGCTATTTAAGCAGATAGAAGAGATCTTGGGCGAGGCCAAGGTCACCCCAGCAGAAGTTGCAGGGGAGCTGATGAAGAGCAGTAATGCTGAAGTTTCCCTGCAAGGCCTTCTTAAATTCCTCAAGAACAAGATGACTGAAAAAGAAAAGAAGGAAACTACGAAGACATTAGAAGCACATAAGGAAGAGAATGGAAAATAGAAGACACGACATACCATAAACATTACCAGACTACTTCTGAAGAGCTCAAAGACGAGGAGGGGCAGATGAGGAGGAGATTTTGGGGACAACTTCTGTTTGAGATGTTCCAAATTGAATTTGAAAACAATTGACAAATAAATGATGCGGCCATGAATGCCAAATTTACATCATTCTAAACTTGACGATTCATACAACTCCGTATCAACCTAACAGTATACTAGTACATATATATCCGAGGAATTCCATCTCCTCTTGAAGCAACTTTAGGGGACATGAAATCCTCAAACTAACCTGTTGTTGAAAAAGGGGACCACATGAAATACACAAACTAGCCAAGAAAAAGGTTGAAAAAGGGGACCACATGCTGATTTCAACATTGTTTATCAAAAATAGGACAAAGTAGTTTTACATCAGCTCCGAGTAGCAGAAGCTTCGTTTCTGGATTCTCATAACCACAATCAATATGGGAGATCCCACTGATTTTGGTAATTCCTTCAGCAACCTCTCCCAAAATCAGTGATAGTCCACCTCGTAAATCAATTGCAGCAACTCGGGAACCATAAAAGGGATTAGAAAATTGATAAAAGCAATCATCAAATGCAACCTTCAAACATATCGATGCACATGAAACATATATAAGATGTCGTGCATAAAAAAGAAACATGCCACCTTTTCTCTTTTACAAAGACCAATGCAGTGCTCCCACAAACATGACTTCTAGGTCTAAAAGCTTCCACAGCTCTCTTACTACGCCAAATGAGACATTGGCAGTAGGGTAAAACCAAATCATCCAAAAAATGTATTTTCAATCCCAAACAAGACAACCAACCACTATTTTGCACCTAAGTGGCTTACACATTAAGACCCATTTAAATATAAAGAGAAAAGATTAAATATTCGATGATTTTAATTCTAAAAGAATCATTGAACACTAATCTGCTTTTGAGTGCAACCAATCAGCTTTATGCCTGGAATGTAAGACAAGCTTCCAGACAACCGATCAAACAACATTCTTGCGATGTGACTGGCACTAATATTTCAACAAGCTTGCTACTACTTAAGCAGAAGCTATTTTTCATCTGAATGCCTCATTTTGAAAATGGAGACTCACTCAGAAATATAGACTAAAAATTAATGCTCAATATATCATCAATTTTGTGCATATCTTGGCTCATGGATTTCCGAATACAGATTCCTCCACTATGCTGATACCATTACATATGTAAAGAATGCCAATGTTCGAGGTTGGAGATCTGTAGGAAATACCGGAAAAGCATTTGTTTTAACGGCCAATCATTAGTTATAGCTCACACAATCAAATGCGATATACTGTTTCGTTCTGCAACCACCACCCAAATTCCTGTCTATTAAGCGTGACAAAAGGGAAGGAATGATGGGTGACATTGACCGAGGATCAAAATTTCATTTCAAAATGGTCAAAACCAACGACGGAATCAAAATTATTCCAAAATTCTAATACTTTGAGCTGTTTTTCCCCCAACCAACCAACTTTCCCCTCCTATGATGTTTGCATAAAGCTAATTTCAGTCTTCTCTCACATCAATGGGAAACAGTTGATGCTAAAGCAAATGACTGATCAAGAAAAATTCAAAATAAAAGAGTTAATGCCAAAGTTGAACCTTCGTTGCTGGTCCCAAGCAACAAAACTTTCACAATCAATGAACTTATGACAATCCATAGAACAAATTCGAAGACAGTGAAACATTTTTATAACAGCACGCACGGAAATACAATAACCCTTACGCAAACTGACCTCAATTCAACTATGGCACCCAGTGCACGAAGCCCTCGACACCACAGATCAATTGGACAATTCCCAATTTCACACCGACCAGGCATTGCGTCGCCAAACCAGCCAGCAACGACTCAATCACAAAGAACCCAGCACTACTCTTCCCATTTTCATCAGATTCCGGCTCGACAGAACGAACCCCATCAGTGTCAAACAAAATTTGTCCATCAAAACTCTAATTTCAGCATCCAAAGACTCTAATTTCAGCACCCAAAGACGCCATAATTGACACCATTGTTTTTATTAGGGTTAATCACAAATTATATCCTTAAAATTCGTTTGAATCTTAATTTATATCTTTAATGAGAAAAAATCTCAATTTACATAAAATATTTTTAATCATATGCATAAAAGGGTTTCGATGTAATTTATTCATTTAATTTTAGACGACACGACTGCTAGTTTTAAGTGTGTACTGATATAAATTTTTATTTTTTAAAGTATAAACTATAATTTTTTATGTTTAAAGATATAAATTATAATTCAAAAGATGTAATTTAAAATTAACCCAATTTAAGTAGTTTATACATTTGGTACGTTCATGAACATTGAAGTGCCAGAGCAACATAGGGACGCTGCGAGAACGCACGGCCCACACTAATGGCAGTGCCAGAGAGTTTGGGGCCACCATGGACTATCAATTCGGGTTCAGCGGCTGAACTTCGGCCACGATTTGAGGGCTTGGAACTTGGAAGTGAGAGATGGTATAGCGTGGGTTACTTTTAAATCAACTCCAAATATGTTTTAATTTATCAAGGCATAAAGCATATCACTACCGTTCGGGAAAAAAAAAATTAATACTGTAATTTTAAAATTTATTATTTTAATAGGTATTTTTATAATTTTTATGGGTTAATTTATAACTAAAAAATTTATTACTTTTATGGATAATTGTATCATATTTAGAAATATTTTTATTATTGTTATGATAATTATTTTTATCATTTTTTTTTTACAAAAAAAAAATTATTATTTTGGTGAGTGATTAGTGTTTTTTGTAATTATTTTTATCACTTTTTTGATGTCACAACAATAATAAAAACAATAACAAATATAATAAAAACAACCTACAAATATATACAAGATTGTACGATGCTAAAATTTTATTTTTTGATACTATAGAGTCGTAGACTAGCCCTCCCATCAATCTACTATTAACCCAAAAAAAAAAAAAAAAAAAACTTATCAATTTACTAGCAGATTTCAATGCCATCTTAATTTAAAATTCATCTTGCTACCGTTCGTTCATTCTCTCCCCTTCCATTAGTAAGATAGTGAAACAGTAGTTATATTGGTCAAGTGTTGATTGATGGTTAGAGAATACTTAACTTTATAATTAATTAAATTAAAATTTAAAAATATTAGACTAAAGGTTTCTCAAACTTTCTCTCCCATTAAATAATTATTATATATATATATATATATATATATATATATTTGTAATAAAGTCCGTAGTTTGGTTTATTTAATGAGTTTCTAATTCTTTGAAATTACTTTTAGCTTGATGACTTTGATTAAGTTTTCATTTATTTTTTGGCGGGGAAGAGAGAGGGGGGAAAGCAAGCTTGAAACCTTAATTTCAAGAAAGTAAAGTCTTTACAAGGTATAGAGTACCATTGGACCAAACTCGTTGATACTGATTAAGTTTTTTCATAACTTTTAGTTTGATATTTATTTTATAACTTAGGGATTAATAAAACATAGAGGATTAGAGTTAATAACAACATTATTTTTGTAATTATGATCATCATTGAAAAGAAAAATTTATTAGTCCACTTTAAAATTTAGGGAAAACTAGTTAGAAGTCCACATTTGGAAAATTTTTTGGATTAAGGTTCATTTTTTAAGTCAAAGGTCAACAAAATTATAACTTGACAAAAATACCCTTAATTAATTTCATTACTTAAATTCTTTTCTCTTATTTTTAAATTTATTTCTAAAGACAGTGAACTCAACGACAATGAACTCAAGATAGTGAATTTAAGACAGTAAACTAAAAACACTCTCTCCCTCCCTCTTTTTGAATCAATTGTTTGATATGTGAAATTTTGATGAGAATTGATTATGTTTGATAAAATTTTTAAAAGATCTTTTTTAAGATATGTGAATTTTGAATCTTTTTAGTTCAATTTTGTGAACTAAAAGACAAACCAAGTCAGAGACTACTGAACATCTCATGGAATGACTCTCAACGGGGACGTTGAGATTGTTTGCACTAAAATCACTCTCTACCTCTATCTTTTTTTGTGTATGTATATATATATATATATATATATATATATATTTGTGTGCGTCTATGCTTTTACTTTCAAAATCAATAATTTGGTACGTGAATTTTAGATGATCTTATTAGTTTAGTTTTGTAACGTTGAACGTCTAATTGAATTTTGCAACGTTTACATAGTAAAGGTAATTGTCAAGACTTATTAACAAAAAAAAAAATTCAAAATCATAGTTTTCAACGATTTTACTAAAATTTATACGACTTGATGGTGTTAGTTACTCTAAAACCATTGACTGAATTTGTACAGATTTTTCATAAAACTATTGTTTTTTTTTTTTCTTTTCTTTTTTTTTTTTTTGGTGAAATCAGCACTCTCTTTTCAACCGGTCAAAGAAAAGTAAAATGAAGAACGAGTCTCTCTCTTCATACAAACCTCACAAATATGAGAAATTTAAAATCTACCACCCAAAAAGATAACCGTTCCTCCTCTTTTCGCTCTCATCACCTCCTCTTATAAAAGGCCTTTACCTCCGCATACCTTCCAATCTGTCACACACACAAAGACAAGGTGAAAACAATGGCAAAGGCTGTTGCCCTCGTTGCCTCTGCCCTCTGCTTCTTGGCCCTTGCCAGTCTTGCCCAATGCCATGAGAAAAATCAGTTCCATATTGAGGGCAAGGTTTATTGTGACACATGCCGCGTCCAGTTTGAGACCAGAATTAGCGACAACATTCCAGGTAATTCCCATGATAATAATTCAGGTTGATTCAATGGTCGAACAAATGATTTCAGTTAACCATGCAAATTTTGAGTTTTAGCAGTACTTGTATTCGTGGACACAAATATATGCATTTATTAGGACATTAATGTGTCTTGTGTTATGTAATGTCAAAATTTCTTCAATTCATAACCAAATTACAGGTTATGTTGTACATAAGTCGTGTTTTACCAAGTTTGCGACCTACTTAACAATGGATCTTACGGTTTCGTCAGTTAATAACTTAATGCATCTACAACTAGATTCAAATTTCGCTAACATTGTGCCAGTTTAGTGTTGAGTTCGCTGGTCATGTGAAAAATTATCATGTCTCTATTTATTTGAGATTTTTGTAGTTGGGCCGATTAGAAAAAAAAAACATATCTAATGACAAAGTTTATGGTTTAATCATATTCTCTTTAAGAGTGTGTTTGTTTTTAGTATTAGGAAATAGGGATATTGAAAAAAATAATGATGGGTTCACCTTATCCCCTTATACTTATGTTTGGATATACATTTTGGCCCAGTATTATCAACTAAAAATAAAACCGGTCTGGATAATAGTGTATTTAATATCACCTATAACCTCATAAATAAACTCACCTTTTTGGTGGGTTAAAATAACTGGTTGCAATGTATTTTGACAAAATATATTTTTACTCTCAAAAATATCTAAGATATAAATATTATTCTTTATTTTGAGGATTGTTTATTAATTTAATGTTTATATCATCGTTCAATACTTAATTCAAACAAAATATTTGATGGGATAAATGTGGGATCCACTACTTCTTAATCCTTAAATCAAACTTGTGATAAAAAATATTATCACTATAATTTGTCCAAGAGTCGGATAGATGGGTATGGAATGTACGGGTTTGTCTAATTTGATCTTTCCTTATGCTTCAACTATAGACACCTTACATCAATATTTCAAGATCAAAATAATAGATCTTGACATGTTACATATATTTTGTCTTCACTGCGCAGGTGCTAAGGTGCGCTTGGAATGCAAGAATCGTGAGCACGGGAAGATTACATACTCCGTCGAAGGTGTCACCGACGCCAACGGCCAATATAGCCTGCTGGTGGAAGGAGATCATGAGGAGGAAATCTGCGAAGTGAGAGTCGTCGAGAGTCCACGGGAGGACTGCGCTGATCCAATGGAAGGATTGGAACATGCCCGTGTCGCCTGTACCGGAAATAATGGCTTGCTCACCCCCGTTCGCTATGCCAACCCTCTCGGGTTCATGAAGAAGGAATCTCTCTCCAACTGCAAGGAGGTTCTTGATGAACTGGGTTTCTTGCCCATTACCTACTAAAATTCATTAGGCCTTTTTGCCTAAAGTTAATAAAGATTGACTTCTAATATATGTGTGTTTTCCATGGAAAATATGTGAGACAGTGAATGACATGAACATGGCCTATGTTGAGTGTTGGAAGTCGAAGGGAGTTAAATGTTTTCTAAGTGGTGCGATATTTTGTGTTACAACTTGCTTTAATTCTTGTTGTTTTGCCAATGGATTTTTCATCGGGGTATCCAAGTTAATTTACACGCATCTCGATTAATTTTCTCCTTGATCAGGGCACACCTCGACTAATTCTCTCTCCGATCCGCACATCTATTGATCCCCTCCCCGGTTTAGTCAAAAACAGATCATTCACGTTGGAATTAGATTCGAATATGTTTAGATCTTATTTTTATTACCAATTGAATTACCTAATATATTTAAAATATATTAGATATCTGACTCTCTTACAACACCTGAATAATCCATCTTTTGAGATAAAGAGAGTTTTCCGAACTAATATGTATCATCTAACTTGTATTCGGATCTTTTCCAACATACATTTTTCTTAATTTTATACAATAATAACTATTCATCGTGAATTCAAGTGGAACATTAAAAATAAATAAGTGACCTATCATAAATACACAGCCATCCAATTAAATCTGATTCTATGCATAAGAAATATTTTTGAGAGAGACTATCTCATCTTCAGTGGCCCAGGTGAGAACGACCCAAGCCCATCTAAATTTGGGGCAACCAACTGGTGGCCCACAATGAGAACCACACACAGCATTCGTTATTTACTTGGTAAATTGTAATGAGATACACTAAATTAGATTTATTTGATAAAAAGTATACACTAAAAAATATAAGGCTATTAAGTATTTAATTTTGATATTTATTTGTATTCAAGTACATAATTTAAATTTATCTATTTTTATTGTGACATTTTTGCCCTCCATTAATCCATGTGTATTTAATGCACCACTTTTCTTTGGAAAGTGGTGCATTAAACATCTCCTAATTTTATAGAAAAATTTTAATATATATATATATGTATGTATGTATGTATATACTTGTTGTTAAATCTCTTATCTAAATTTTGAATTATCTTTTAATGCACCTTGATTCATGCAATTTTTTTTTAAAAATTAATTTTATTTTCAAATTAATTTAATTCCGAATAGTGTAATAGTAAAACAATAACAGTGTAACAATATAAAGTGTAACAGTGTAACAATAAAAATGTAACACTAACAATATAACAGTATAACAATAATAGTGCAACAATCTATTTACACAAAATATTGTACTATTACATTTTATCAAACATATAGTTTCATATAATTTCATTTCAAATAGTTCATCTCCTTTTTGAATTTGTTACTATATACACAAAATTACTGAACACTATTTTTGTTACAGTGTATTTGTTACACTGTTATTATTATACTATTACATTATTCGAATATTAAATTAATTTAAAAATAAAATTATTTTCCAAAAAAAAAATGATTCAATTAAAGTGCATTAAATATAATTTGAAAACAAAATCACTTTTCAAAAAAAAAATGCATGCATCAAAGTGCATTAAAGATAATTTAAAATTTAAATATAAGAGATTTAACAACAAATATATATATATATATATATATATATCATATATACGTGTATATAAACAAGTATATTATATATATTTGTTTATACATGTATTAATAAATACACATGAATCAAATGTGCATTAAATATGTATTTATATGTATTAATAAATACACATGAATCAAGGTGCATTAAAAATAAAAAATTTTGAATTAAATGACCTTAAAATGGGCATTTATGTCTTTTTAACTCATATTTTGTTATATGTATTTTTTGCCAAATAAATCTAATTAAGGGTACCGACTTTCAAAAAATCTTATTTACTTTTTAGCAAGAATAAAAAAAAATAGCATAAATGGAAGGCCCAAGCCGCCCAACTTACAAAACGACAGAAGATCCTTGTGTTGTGTCTTAGAAATTGAAAAAGGATAATATCACGGACAACGCATGAGATGTATTTTAGTATCAAAGATACTCTGTCTACTTTTGATAATATCACTTACACCCTCCACTGTCCACTAGTAATTGTTTTTTTTTTGTTATTGGGTATCCAAACTTACGCTGACTACTCTCTCAAACTCAACGGTTAATTACCGTGGTCTGAGCCGAATTCGAAAATATCTCTAAAAAAATAAGAGTGATTAACCTTTACAAAATGTGAGATCCACTGGTAATTATTTGCTAACTAAAGTGACAAGATGTTTTCTAATGAAATACTAGAGTGAAAAAATTAAAATATTTCGCAACCTGAGTTTTATAAAAATTGATCATTATTCTTAGAAGTGTGTGTGTGCGTGAAAAAGGCTATGTCAAGCCTAAGTCCACAAGTTTGGCCCAAACCTATTCCAATGTAATTTAAATTTAATTTACGTTGCACTTCATTTAACCGTATTGTTAGGTGGTTTTGAGGGCATATTTTGGGTTAAAATTTGCTAACATTAAACAATCATTCAAATACCTAATTTAAAAAATAAAACTTCGAATTTAAGAAAAGATATAGAAATATTTAACTTAAATGAGCATATAACGTATGATCGAAATAAATGATAAAGACAAACTCACATAGTCGATCTCAAATAATTAGGACATAAGACTTCGTATAGTTGATTGGTTGGTATTTCGAATTTCAGGGTAGTTTATTGATATTATTGAAATTAGAGGTGGTGCCTCTATAATAGTTAGAAACCATAGGGGCAGGATTGTCAATGACATTATTCCTTTGAAACAAAACCCACGGCGAATACTTAAACCATTGCGCAGTTATTTAGTGAGAGAAAACCTTATTCCATCAGCTTCTCTTTCTCTCTCTCTCCCTCGCGCAACCTTTAGCGTAAACTCTGCAATCGAACCACCTTCTTCGATGGCGAACAGCAATTTACCTCGGAGAATCATAAAGGTATGACCCTTGTGTTCTTCGATTCTCGATCCCTCTCTCAATTCGCTCGATTTTTGGGTAATTTGTCAACGCTTTCGATTTCACACTCATTTACACGCGATCACTTTCTCTTCGTATCCTCTTAGGGTTTTTGACTTGATTATGTTGCTGTTCTGGTTTTGACGGCGTTGTTTTTGTGATCTTACAGGAAACTCAGCGTCTTCTCAGCGAGCCAGGTAAAACTCTCTCCCTCTCTACCTCGCCATCGTGCTTCATGATTGAGCTTGAGAATATTTTTCATAAATATTTTTTTCTGTCTGTGGAAGTGTTGTCACTTCTGCTGTTTATGTGAGCTCTGGATGTGGAAATGGTAGTGATTGGTGCCAATTATCTATTCCGTGTTTGCTCTTTTTTTGTTAGTCTCTCTATTTCTCTCTGTTTTTCTGTTTTTCTGTTTTTCTGTTTTTGTGTGTGTGTGTTGTAATGTATGCACATTATCAACAGAGTGCTGTTTCTGGTTTGCTGCGTATGGGAGCTTTAGAATTTGAAATGGTGCAGTGAGTTGGTGCTAATTATTTGATTGTTTGGAGGTTTTTTTGTTGTGATTTTGTGGTGAAGTGTGATATTTAGTAGATGGTTTTGTTCTGGAGTGTTGTTTGGGCATGCAAGTCATGATTTTGTTTGGTGGTAATATGTTTCGTGTTTGGGGGCTTAAGTTGTTTTGTATTGTTTTTGATTTGTCATTCAGCGCCGGGAATAAGTGCATCACCTTCGGAAGACAATATGCGGTATTTTAATGTCATGATTCTTGGGCCAACACAGTCTCCTTATGAAGGTAATTCGCTTGGCAGCATTTTTTTCTCAGCTTAATATTTCCTTAAAAGGTGTTCTGGTTGTTTTTTATATGGTGCAAATAAATAATTAATTAATTACCATTTGATTATGTTATTTACATATGTTTGCCTGGAGTCTAAGCCTTTAGTATTTATGTAGCTTTAGTTGTTAAATGACCAAATAGAGAGCTAGCCTTGACCAGGCTTGATAGTGTAGTTGTAATAGGTTCAGCTTTGTAATGTTCTTGTTTTCTTGCGGTGAAAAGTGAAAATCCAGTTTTCAGTATTTTCTTGGTAACTGATCAAAAAATTTGGCAAAAGTGTGTTATGAATATGATGGAAATGTTACAGTTGGCTCTTTACATGCTTTTGAAGGTGAGAAAATGATGATCCATCTGGTATTCTATATCTAACCTCCTAAAACTTCTTGTCCTCTCAATTTCTTTTCCATGGGAGTGCATTAACGACCGAGTAGATACAGTCAAGTCTCCGTGCTGTAAAATGTCTGCATCTTGGATGCAAGCCAATTTGTAGGAGGGTTTTGATAGCTTCTCTCATTATATGGTTTTCCCTGTGTTTTTTTTAACGTCCTCTCTCTTGCTTTACTGTTGCTGTGTAGGTGGTGTTTTCAAGCTGGAATTGTTTTTGCCAGAAGAATATCCAATGGCTGCTCCCAAGGTGTTTCAATTTTACTGAACATTACTACCATTTAACATGTTATCTATTAATGGTTTTATACATTTGGAGTTCATGCAACGCATTATTTCAGGGCTTTATGGGACATAGGAGGTCTGTCTAATATTGTCTTCTGCTTTGCTTTGTTGTATGATTTGGGCATTATACCCATTTTACATATCTCCACTAATGATTGTATAATTGTGCTGGTATGCACATTCAGTTAGCAGCAATCTATTCTCCATTTTTGTAATTTTTTGCATGTTGATCCCTTAACTGTGATGCTATACTATTTCTGAACTTGTGTTGATTTGGTGAGTTCTTTAAACTTTGTTTTGAAGGTGATAATGTAGATGGTGGCACCTGGTATTAATATATTCTATTTCTGTTATTTTTTTTGGATGTCTTATTTGTTTCCCTTGGCGTTCTAAGAAAATTCTTTTGCTCTAAGAAATACTGTCTCTGCACTTGGTTCAACCCATTGTTGAGGGGGTTCTTCTCCACCACTTAATAATGATGGCACGCCAAGCTTTTCGGCCGATTTAGGATAGAGCCAGGCTGGGTGTTCATTTAAGCGGTGGCTGGGTTTAATTGCTTCTCCTTTTTCATTGTGTCATTAGACTTACCTGAAGCAGAGAAATGTAACATGGCACTACTCCTCTTCTGTATTGTGTAAATAGAGGTTGCTCTCCATCCTAGCATGTGAGACATCAGCTATCATTAGTTTTCAGCAAGGCTTGTGTAGAATCAGCAGCAGATACTCCTCTGGAACTTATTTTTTTAGCCGGTTCATTTTCTCCAATTAATTTTTGGCAGAAATTTAGGCCTGGGGATGTGCGTTGTAAGGATGGCATCATTGCACATGTTTCCAGTCTATCGGTGGATTAACATTGACTTGTTTGCTTTAAGGCCTTCATATACTCATCCCTTCATATTTTTCTTTTAACAGGTTCGATTCCTCACCAAAATCTACCATCCTAACATTGACAAGGTTGGCTGTCCCTGAGTTGATTCTATTTTCTTTCTGAGTTTAAGCCCTAACATTTCTCACCTCTCATAGAATGGGTCATTGAATGCAGCTTGGAAGGATATGCCTTGATATTCTTAAAGACAAATGGAGTCCTGCCCTTCAAATTCGAACTGTACTCTTGAGGTAAAAGGAATTTATGATTTTTTACTAACAAAAAGTAATGTACTTGTTCTGGTACTGATGCTTTTTTTTTTTTTTTTTTTTATAATCTGAAGAATTGAAATATTGAAATCATTTGTGGAATGTCTTATATAATGTGGTACTGATATTCTTTACCTAGGATTTGAAAGAGAACTACCTACTGATAAAGTAAAAATACAAGGTGGAATTATTTATGGAGAATGGAGAGGCCTTAGTTCAAATACCCTGCGGGTAAAGTATAAACTCTAATGAGGTTTCTTTGTTTATTTCTCTTTTAGCATTCAAGCACTTCTGAGTGCCCCAAACCCTGATGATCCACTCTCTGAAAACATTGCAAAACACTGGAAATCAAATGAGGCTGAAGCCGTGGAAACAGGTAACTTGATGTTTTTGATATATGGGTGTAATTTCTGTCGGAGACATATCTGACTGGCTTTTGTTTCTTTTAAATCCGCAGCAAAGGAATGGACCCGTCTCTATGCTACTGGTGCGTGATTAAGGCATGCAAGCTATGCTTGCGCCCAATTGACGAAAATATGTAATGTAATCTATTGAATGTTGGATTTAAATGGATATTTGGAAGAATTGATTAAGAACAATTCCAATTATTGCCTCATAATCGTTTCCTCTCTATGGAACTTGTCTTTGAAATTGTATAATGAGAAAAGATACATCTGTTCTCTATCTTTTGGTCTAGAAAATATGTTTGTCTGGAGGTAGAGATCAATTCCGAAGAATCTGTGAACATGGAACCATAGCTTGTTTTTTTTTTTTGTTGTTGTTGAACTAAGGAAGCATAGCTTGTTGAGTTACCCTTGTTTACATCTCTGGTTTCATCTTGTTTGGACTACTCTAGTAAGTGTTGTTTATTGTTACTTGGATTTTTTCAGAACTTTTTTTTTTTTTACAAGGTATTTTTGTATTAATTATTCTCTTGAATTCGGATACTGATCATTATAGTTTGAGTGGGTTTAGAACATATCTCCTAAGAATTATGGATAGCAAATTCTTGAAAGATACGAAAAGTGTTGAACCTGAGATTTTTTACCATGTTAAATCAGAGAATAGAAATTTGTTGGATTGCACTCTCTAACACGCACGCATGCGGGGAGAGAGAGAGAAAGAGAGAGAATCTCCGGTCCAAGTAACAATAAACTAAAATAAGAAAGATATGAACAAAAAAAACAAAAAGATATGAACCAAATATGGAAAGTAGAACAAGAACACCATGAAATATTTATTTGCCGAATAAAAAAATAGAGAAAATATATGCAACGTGATCAAACATAACCCCCCTTATGACGACTCTTCGGACTGCCGTAGGTGATGGCAAACTTAAAACTTACGAACAACTTCCTCACCGACTCATACATACACAGACAACAAATAATCAACCAATACAAAAAACTATTCAGATCAACCATGCCAATGATCGACTCAAGCAAACTAAATTAGCACTAATCGACTTTCCAAAAAAAAAAAAAAGCAGCCCTAATCGGCCTCTAGGAGAAAATTTGGAAAACGACTCATAAGATGATAATTAGACCGTAATTAGACCATGAAACAAAACCCTAATAAAAAACCGTAATTAGACCAACAAAGAATGAACAAACTCATCACCAATCCTCTGAACCAGTTTTTCTTTAATCTCTTCCAAACCCATCTTCAACTGAAGTAGCTGGTCCATGTCATTATAGGCTTCAGCTTGTATAGAGTCCAGCCATGTCCTCAACGAGTTAGTCTCACAATCTCCGTGGCTTTCTTGGTTAGTCGTCAAGTACTTATCAGTGGTGGCCTCAGAGGATAGGTCACCGTGAGTGTAAACCTGGCCGGTCGGAACGTGATCGTCATGGATAATTTCTTGGTGAGTGGTCAAGTACTTAACCATGGTGGTCTCAGAGAATGGGTCACCGTGACTGTAAACCCAGCGGGTCGGAACATGATCGTCGTGTATTTCTTGGTGAGTGGTCAAGTACTTATCAATGGTGGCTTCAAAGGAGGGGTCACCGTGAGTGTAAACCCTACCGGCCTCCGAGAAAACGAGGATAGCTACGTTAGCCCCGGTTCTCAGATGAAGCTCGCGGGCTTTCTTGAAGAGGCCTTGGCGTCTCTTTGAGAATGTCACCATTCTGTCAGAGTCTTTCTCCTTTTTCTTTATCTCAATCTTCTTCTTTCCCGTCCCCATCTCTCTCTCTCTCTCACACACACAGTCTCTCTTTGTTTCTCTTGGAATGCTTTACGAGAAACTCTCTCACACTGTCTCTCTGTGTTTCTCTTGGAAGTTGGAATGCTTCAGGAGAAACTCCTAAGCTCTATGACTATTTATATCAATGCCGGCCGCCAATAAACCAGGGGCTTTAGGGCCAACCCCAAAAAGCAAGGTCACTGACCTAGTCTGTGACCTAATTACTCAATAAATAGTAAACTTTGATATTTATTGGGATCCATTATTAATGTGATAGTTGTGATAAATTAGGTCAAAATTATATTATTGACAAAAAAAAAAACTTTAGATTTAAAGGTATGAGCAAAACTATTAAAACTTAATTTATTAATCTAATTCATTATAACATTTAGATTGATTATAAATTCCGTTAAACGCTGAAATTTCATATTGATTCAATGATTCTAATAAAATCAAATCGGTAGGTCAGCAAATTAAGTTAGGTTTTTAGGTTTTAAAAACTTTACTCTTATAATATAGCCCATTTTTATAAATTTAAACACATAAAATTGAGTATAACAAAAAGTCCAACTAAATTTTACTCAATAAAAAAAGTAAAATTAGAAGTCTGACTATTTTAAAAATCTTTTTATGTGTTAAGTCCAACTTCTGTTCTTTAAAGAGATTAAGGACATCTTTCGAGTTCATCTAGTCCAAACTAATTGTATCAATTTTTTTTGATTACTTGAATGGTCTTGAGGGTATCAAAGTCCTATTTGTGTCATCATCCATACTCTCCAAGCACACTCCGTTCACCTCCGGCACCTCATTGACATGTTGGCGACCTCAGATATGGCAGCCTCTCGGACCTCAGGGAGGTCGCTAGTCAAGTCCTTGTAGGCAGCCTCAAACACCTTCTGCGAGAATCGAAGCAATCTGATCATTATACGTGTAGACAGCAAATATTGTAACAATGCTATATAGATGGTGACGTCGATAGGTCAACCCAGGACTCTAACGAGGTTGTGGTTCAGTGGGCTAAGAGGGAATTATAATTTGAAAAAAATATCACGTAGGACCCATTTTATCAACGTGTCAAGAACGTGCTTGGGCCACCATGTGAGGTCCCACTATAATTAGAGTCCACGTATATATTTCCTTACCTAATCGGTATAACTCAAGGAGAGAATGGGAAAAAATAAATAGATAAATAAGATTGTAGAGTAGATCTTGAGCAAACATAATCAGGATCGGAGATTAGATCCCATAACAAGTCTCAAGGTAAGGACTAGATCCCATTGCAAGGTGTGCTCTACAATCTAATTAATACTTGAAACACTTGTTACTATTTTATTGGCTTGCACTGCATGTGCTTACCCCACACTTGTGTCCTTAGGCACTAAGCCTTGAGGAGGCTGTCCCTCTCTCTCTCCTCTCTCCTCCATCCTTCACACCCTCCTCTTGGGTCCCTTCGACTGTGATGTGTATGAACCCATTTAATTCCCCACCTACAATATCCATATATATCTATGTATAGAAAGGAGAGATACACATTCGATAACATCGAGATCATTGTGGATGGGAGGGCCAACGTCGTGGGAGATGCAGTTGAGATAGCCGGCGGATGCTAAGAAAGCCTACCATCACTTGTGAGACCAACGGATGTAGGGATGGGTATGTTGAGAGAATTACATGCAGAAGTAGTTAAAAAATCCAGTCCATTAATGCTAGCAATGCTATCTAGACCTAATTAATTTATTCATCTAGTTTGCTGATGTAATTTATTATGGCTTTCAGAATGACTATAACCTCTATCAAATATTGAAATTTGGTATTGATCTAATGTTTCTGATGATATAAAAACTCAAAGCGCGAAACGAATGCTTGAGATGAGAAGTTCTAGTCTTAGGAACAATAGTGTGTGAATGACCAATGTAAGAGAGATCGATCTATGATTAAGTCTAATGGCTCTGTAAAATGCTACAATAAACGGAAAACAAAGGTAAAAGCTGCAGAATAAATGAGAACATACAACCAATTGAAGAATTTAACTAAATCACTCTAATAGAGTTTATTGCTCCTTGAGAAATTTTATATTACTTGAAAAAGAAGATAAGAATTACAATTGCAAAGATTACGATTGGTCTGTCACCCTCTTTGTGTGAGGGATTGCCTATATATTTATACTCACATGTGAGGTAATTCTCATGTCATCATTATATGGTCACATGGTCCCCAAATAGGATTTTGTTAGAAGAATATTTGACTGTTAGAGATTATACTTCCTAAGCGTAACGTGACTTTTTAAAACATGTTGATGTGCCATTGAGACTCCTTACTAAGTATAGATAATCTGTGATCTTCTATGTCTGTGAGAGGTCATACTGTTTGGACCGACTTTAACGTGAGCTAGAAATGTTGTAATTCCTCATGATATAATATAGACAGGCCTGGACACCTTTATTTTGGATCATACATGGACAATTCCGGCACCTTTGTATGAGGGCGTACAAGGATGAAATTGGCACTTTTCCTAACTGAGTGTATAATTGGAGGTCGAAAGACAGAACCTTGTCTATTGGTTTTTGCTACAAATGAGATAGGGAGACAACCTTCTACTTGTTTTTGATATTATTTTTGGTATCATCAGTTTTCAATAAAATTTCATCATTAGATCAATAATTTAAATCAAAATTTTAGGTTCAAATAAAATTACTCAATACATAAACGCGCAAAGAAATTGAAATGGAATTACTAATTTTAATGATTTTTTCAAAATTGTCAAATAAATTAATCGATACAAAAATTCTTAAACACGATACAAATTCAGATAGGTATAACTTATTGAAGACACGAACTCAATTATAAAGGATTATAAAAAAATTCTCTGGGATCCTGCCTTCATGTGCCTGTCCAAGAAAGCACCAAATATAATGATCATGCCAAATGAAAGCAAACAAAAAGAGATTCATAAAAAAATAAGTGAACAAAATTCAAAATTGTTGCAAATCAGAAAAACAAATTATCAGATGATAAACTCAATGCACAACACTTTGGTTTCTTAGTCGCATCAAACTTATATATACAAACCCTCATCAATCTCACTAACCATCCCTCAACCTACCCAAAAACCATTCAATCCATTTCTCCAAGAAATTTAACAATGGCAGAGAAGGAAGGAGGAGGTATAGTGAAGAAGGGTCATGACGAGGGCCTAAAACTGGCCATCTCTCTCCTCGAAGAATTCGGACTCCCTTTGGGACTTCTCCCTCTAGCCAATGTTGTCGAAGTAGGGTTTGTAAGGAGCACTGGCTACATGTGGATCGTCCAACGGAAGAAAGTCGAGCACGAGTTCCAGAAGATCAGCAAGCTCGTGAGTTATAGCACCGAGATCAATGGCTACATCGAGAAGATAAAGATCAAGAAGCTCAAGGGTGTGAAGGCTAAAGAGCTCATGTTGTGGCCTCCAGTCAGTGAAATCAGTCTCGACGATCCCTCCACCGGGAAGATTCACTTCAAGAGCCTCGCCGGAATCACCAAGACCTTCCCGGCAGAGGCTTTTGCCGCCGGCCAGTAATTCGTTGTAGTTTGCTTCATGGTTTGTGTCCTCCATTGATGCTGCTCTTTGGAGATAAGTCCTTATAGAGAGTTGTTACTGTTTTTATTGATATTTCAAGTTTGGTTTTTGTTTTGGTTGGCTTTTGGTAGATCTACTTCTGAGGTTTGGTGCTCCGACACCATCATTCTGTATAGGAATGAAATGAATAACAACCTTGTTTCCTTAATCAATCTTTTCCCCTATTTATTCAGCAAATCACAAACTAGGACCTGTTTAATTGACCTGATTTGCTGCCCCGAAACGTCAACATTTAATCTCATTACTAATCCAATGATAGTAATAATTTATATTAGCAAATTATGTCGAGATACCAATACTCATTATCCAGTAATGTTATGTTTAAGCCAATCTAAGCCCAGTGGCAAGAAGATATGATTGTGCTTGCTTGAGTTTAATACAGATAATGAGTATTAACCTAGCTTGTCCCTTCGATAAAATTGGAACGATATTGACTTGAATCCTAGCCATAAATTAGGGTTCAGATTAAAGCAGTATTAACCATGACTGAGTCACATATAGATGGGAGCCATTAACGTTTGAGTATTTAGAATTTATCTTTTGACCCCTCAAAATTCATTATTGGTTGAATTGGCCCCTTACAATATTGGCTTTACATGCTATGCTATTACTTTTCCTTAATTTGACTTGACCCCTCTAACTTGGTTTTCCTGACTCCGCCCCTAGAGTGTTACTGCTAAACTTAACCTCATTTCTTGTCTAAGCACAATTTCGAAGGGAAAATCTCGAGACTCGCAAGTAAACCCTATAAGAAGGGAGAATCGCATTTTGCACTTTTAATTTTAGAATTCCCAAAGTACACTCTCAAATATTAATTTTTTTCACATTGTACTCTCAATCTCATAAAATAGTTATAATATGGCCCTCACATTAGCTAACTTCCGTTGTATATTCTATCAAATCTTACTACACACAACACAACACACATGAATTTGATAGAAATAGAAACAGAAATTAGTATGAGGGCTTTATTGCAATTATTTTATGACATTGAGGGTGTAATGTAAAAAAATTAATACAAATTAAGAATTTTAAAATTTTTCAAGGGGCAAAATCTCATTGGGCTATGCTCCAGTGGGCTTTGGCTGTCTAACTTGGGCTTTTTCTGAACTGGGCTTCAATAGGCTTTGGTATCCAAGCTTGGACTCATTTCAGTGGGTTTTGGTTTTCCAAGCCCTTAATTTCACATCAGATTCTTATCTTTACACAGTGGATTAGGCTACGGAGCTTTAAATGGGCCAAACCATCTCATCTAAGGGGCCAAAAAACATGGGCACTTGGACCTACTGGTTGTTGGGACAGATCAAAGCCGTGGGCCAACCCCCATTCATCATCCTCTTACGAAGGATTACTTTCAACGATGAGACTATAATAAACATATTTATAATTTATGATATAAAACATGACAGATTTTAATAAGTTCATCTTACGGTATCAAATGGACTCATCCAATGACCACCAATATTCCTCTCAAAACCATTCACATTAAATTTCTCCTTCCAAATTCATCACTTTTCACTTGTCTTGTACCGTGCCTTTAGAAACGGATTACCCCTAGTCTATTACTAAAACCCTGCACTTCAATGGGGGATCGAGTTTGAGCTCAATTTTTAAACTCGTCTAAATAAACAAGCCATGTCCAACCAATTTTCATCGACACGTATAGACTCGAGACTCGAGAACGTATTGGTATAATATTCTTTCCTTTACATATGGAATTTAACTTAAATTAAAACTCAAACTTGATTGATTTACTTAAATGAGTCGAATCAAGCCTAATCCCAGGTTATTTTATAAAAAAAAATAGTAAATTAAACTTGAGGGTAGTCTAGACCAAATTGTATAAACTCGCTTCGATTAAGACGGCAGAAGGTATTAGGAGAATCTACAGACCCCCACAGCCACAAGTCCTGTCATCATTCTCGTCCAAAAATGAAGACTGATCCAGAAACACCAACGGCTATATTTTCAGCAGAATATTTCATTTCATCAGCCTGAGAACTCTAAAAGCTCCACTCAGACGATTGTAACGTACACCGTACGTCATGTGGTAATGTTCCATGGGTAATGTGACCTCTATTATTATTGTCGGTCTTTGGGGGGAGATTGATACTTTTTACGATGTATATATATATATATATATATATATATATATATATATATATATATATATATATATTTTGACACATCATTTACGGTACATTTAAGTATGATAGATTTTATATAAGTGAATTTGCACTCGTTAATTATGGATAATCCTTCTAAGGATCCTTACTTGGAACTATTAGCCTTCTTTAAGAAAATAATTGTTTATTTTCTATACATATATCTCATCTTGGCAAGTGAAAATGAAGAAGAGTAGTAACAAACTATTCAATGGCTTGTATGTAACGTCTCTGAAGTCTGAACAGTCAAAAGGAAATATAAATGAGAAAAACGAGAGAGAGATTCAATGCAAAAGGGTACTCGAAAGTCACTCTCACCTGACAGGCCGGTTGTTCCACACCACCAAGCCACTGCATTGCAGGCGGGGGTCAATACCGATTCATTGCTCTTTTGGACTATTCTCTTAGATATCTCATAATTATAATATCGTAAAATTATTTTTTTAATATTAATTTAAATTTATTGCATGTAACATTATTTTACTTATTATTTTTTTAATCAATGAATACAATTACTTCAAACTAAAATCTACTATTATTAAGCAATTTGGATGGGTACGAAACAGACAAACTTTTATTGCTTCAATGGATAAGAGTGTTTAGACCAACTTATAATTATCCTTTTGGTTTGGTGGGTGGAGAGACTGTTTGGGAGTTAGAAACTTAAATGCATACATACATGTGATTATAAAGTGCAAACCCTCCTCAAGAGGGCGTTTTGACTCTGCCCCAACATCAGAGTATGAGTTAAATGGAAACAACCCACCTCCAAACAAAGTCTTATTCGCCAATATCATTGTCAGTTATACGATTCCAGAAAGAAAATGATCCATAAGTGTATCAATCAGGTTTATTAAAAGTGGACAATAGAATGATTACTCCGGCCAAAACTCGTCTACATGCTGATGTACCTCCTCCAATCACAACCCAGTCGAACCTAAACATATTCAAACATGATAGGATGGCTTGGATTGACGCCCATTAATAATGAATGGAATCCATGTCAAGTGTAATGGTATCACATGAAGTTCACAAATAGTTGGTGGGTCACTCTTGAATCAAAAACAGAAGCAATCCACCTAAACAGTAATGAATTCTATCAACCACCCAACACCACATTTAATAAGAAGGCAGACAATCACTTAAAAAAACTCATGTACTTACCTACTTTCTTCCACAGACCCTGCAAGTATCCTAAGATACAATGTAATGACAAATTCACCCCCAGCTGAAACAAGTTATTTTCATGCAACGGAAAAAAGGATCCTGATTCATGGTAATTCTCATAAGATAAACAGTAGAGGGAGTGAATATGTGGAAGGTGGGAAAATGGAAAAAAAATTGAGAAATTTTATTGATGAAATTGTTGAGTAAATGAACAACAGGAACAATAACACCATCATATTCATTCTTCTTTCAACAGCACCAATATCCCCATCATATTCATCCTTCTTTCACTAGCCGAATAAACGCCCACCAGTCATCCAATTTCTCTCCCACAATGGCTTCTGTATACATCATCATATGTGTATATACATATATATATCATCCTCAGCCAGCCATCTCTCTCTCTCTCTCTCTCTCTCTCTCTCTCTCTGAAGAGCCGATTTAATCAATGGTACATAATCCTCAATAATTTCCATAAACACAGAGATACTAGAACAAAGGTGGCTAAATGAAATTGAAGAGAAAAGAGTCTGAAAAAATGATTATAAATGCAATAGAAAAGGAGAGGGGAGAAGTTCGAACCAGAGAGCAATGAGGAATGAATGAATAAATAAAAACTGCTAAAGGGGTACTAAGCTATCTCCCTGGGCTCCAGTGGCATTGGCAGATTTGGCTCCCGATGAGATAGATTATTTGGCTCTGATTATGTCACAGGTAAACGATGGGTAATCCCCGTATGGTGGGTAGGAAAGACTGTTTCCATCAAGCTGGGGGTTTGAAAGCAAGAGGGATAGGCAACAAATTACATGGCAGAATAGCAGATGTGCAAGTAGAGTCGTGTTCAAAAACTGTAATGCCTCACCGTGTACTCCAACACCTCTGGACTTGGGCAGACCATTTCCTTCACCCGGCTGCCTCTTTTGTAAATTTTGAATGTTGGTACAATCCGAACATTCTCAGCATTTGCAATTGTCGGACTCTCATCCACATCCACCTTTGTTTAAAGATAGAAAATATAAGTTTCATATACTTCACTCCTTATAACAAGAAGATAACAATCAAGTTGGTGGAACAAGACTTGACAGGAAATTTTGACACGTCCTTTACCTTGAGAAAATTTATGGATGGATATCGGCTGCACAGTGTATCCAAGAATGGAGATATCTGCTTACATTGCAAGTTGGATGCTGCTTTAAAATGGACCACAGATGCACCTGGAATTTCATATATAATAATCTTTAGAGTAAAACAAAATGATAATAACGCCACGATAGGACTACAAGTGAATTGTGCGTGATAGTGGGATCCCTCACCCGGTGAAGAAATTGCAGCTCTAAACTGCTCAAGACCTGATACTAACTCCACTTCCCCACCAAACTTCATGTTAAAAATTTCTTCCCCACGGGATTTCTTCAGTGCAACTTGTGCATGGAACAAGGATTCAGCAACCTCTTTGTCATATGGAAGGTCCCTGCTTAAGACCTCGTAATCTCTCACAGCTTCTTCCCACCGCTCAAGCTATAAACAATAATTTCAATCATAAATTTAGACCATGGACACAAAAACAAGTGAGTTTGCAAATATAAATTTGTGTACCAAATTCTAAGATTAAATGAAGTTTAGGAAGTCATTCACCTTGCTGTTTGAGGCAGCCCTTCGAAGAAGGGCTTTGGTGTAATTGGGCTGGATACGAAGAGCTTGGTTGCAGTCATCAATGGATTGCTCCCACTGCCCAAGCTTATACCAACAAGCAGCTCTGTTGCAGTAGAGAACCGAGTTTGATGGATCAAGTCTGAGACCTTCCCCATAAGCTGAGCAAGCTTCTGTGAATCTTTCAGACTTGAATAGATCATTACCACGAGCACGAGCTCTTCCCACCAACTTCACATTCTTGAGTAAAACTGAAACTTCCATGTTCTGTGGGTCGATCTGTACTGCTTTCTCAAAAGCCATAAGTGCATTTTCAAACCTGCAACACATCCATCATGTGTTCTCACTCTTCCCATGAACCCTTATTCTCTCTTTTGAAGCATATAATTTCTGAACTCACCTTCCAAGCGCCATCTCAATCTGCCCACGGACAAAGAATAGGTATGCTTCAGAAAGCATCCCAAAAAACTTTGCCTGAGAGCAGGAAAGAGTAGATGGCTCAAAATTAGGCAGGTTTGAGAGGCTCAAATCTGCATCATGTAGTTGGTGGAGCTTCAAAAGGGCTTCTGCTCTACATGCAAAAAGCTGTAAGATCGAGTTAAAACAAGTTCAGTCAAATGATTTTTTCCATGTCTACGCATCAATGCCTCCAACAACAAATCTATGATTGAACAAACTTGGAGGCATTGCCTTACCTGAGGAGAAGAGTCAGCTCCAGAAGCAATGGTGGCATCACCTTCTCGCAATGCACTTCTCCAATCACCAACCCTCCGGGCATCCACGCACCTGTTCAGATGCTTCTCTACGGCCTGCAACTTCTGGAATTCACCTGGATCCGGATGATGCCCTGTTAAACAAAGGTGCTTCCTGGCATTTTCAACCTGTCCTAAACTGTGAACCTTACAGAAATTAGATGGCTTACTGCTAATGAAGGATAAACAGTGAAAATCCCAATAACCTAAAATCCAAAGAAAAACAAAGAACTGAATCAAATGGAGATAAAATTTATGTTACACACAGTTAAGGTGTTTAGTGATCAAAGTTCGAGTGAAGAAAAAAGAGCAGTGGAAGGAACCATAGCTCATAGAGAAGTCACATAGCATAACACATTTAACTTGTATAAGAACGCCACTCAATCAAATAAACTTAAAGAGGAAAGTATGACACATGATCCAATCTTACCCCTTAAAAAGTTATCCTGCATCCCATTTGAAAAAATAATAAAAAAAACACCCCCACTGAAATTAAACTCGATCAATAGAATTAATAAGTACATCATAGCTGCTGAAAAATTAGAACCAGAGTAGTAGGGGAAAACTTACAGTAACCTTAAGGGAAAAACAAGGCTCCCCTATTACCAACGGGAACACACAGAATATATAACAGTGAATACACCCAGAACAAAACAAACAGGCGGACCAAAAAAAAATTGATCATCCTCATCAACCAGATCTGGTAAATTGATAAACAACAACCATTTTTTCAAGGCATGTCAAGATACAGCAAACCGTCATTCATATTTATACAGCAACTTACAAAAACTTTTGATATACTGGAGAAACCAATAAACATAGAAGCATAAGGATTCAAATTTTCTTCTCTACTCGCCTAAGGACAGATCCTACACTTAGCCAGATAAAAATTCACTAAATTCAAGGAAAATGTGAGAAATTTGTAAAAGAAGCACAAAGAATTGAAACCCCCCACCCCCCGGGGGGGGGGCGTAACACAAAACTTAAGAAGCAAAGGTCCTACACATACCCACACAGAAATTCATAGAAACTGCCATTGCCAATACATTTACAACCAGCAGTCCTTAACAGAAGCTCAAAAATTATATTTTTCTACTCACTCAGACCGGAAGAAGAGTTTTTTTAATAACCCACACAATTCATCGACAAGTCTGTCAATTTCAATGAACTATGAGTAATTAACAGACAGTAACCATGAAGATCTGAACTTTTTTGCACTCACCTAAGAAAAAGAGATCCTAAACGATGGTGTGCCCTCACATAACCTGGATCCAACCTAATAGCTTCTGCACATTCTTTCACTGCCTCTGACAATCTCTTGAGACCCATCAATGCCGCTGCCCGGTTACAATGGTAAGCGGCATTGCCAGGAGAAATGGCAATTGCCTTGTCATAAAGACTCAAAGCCTCAGCAAAATGACCCTTCTTGTGCTGCTCATTTCCTAATCTCTTCAAATCTTCTGGGTCATTACTCCACATTTCTCTTTTCAATGATTCTCCACCCACCACTCCCCTAGAACTCGTGACACCGACAGAGCCACCGACTCCACCACCCGATTTGGCGGCGACACCACCTCGCATGATGCTTCCGTGGCCGTAATTGCCCGTTCCCGACCCCAAAACATCGGTTCTCGAGCTTCGACTCGCCATTCCCGTCTTCAAAATCTTGCCTGACGGGCAAATATTTCCCGTTGGTAACACATTCACCGCCGGTGAGTTCACTGACCCACCAGAATGTGCTAATGGGTGTGACCCATCCGAATCTGACCTTCTATGGCCCAGTTTGAAGCCACGAGAGCCGCCGGCTGTTGGGGAACTTTCAACAGAGCCAGAAAGCTCGCCGGAGTGGTTGGAATCGGATCTTCTGGGAATCACGTTGGGTCCTGTTCTGCCCGAGACCGATCCGGATGAGCTGGAACTACTGCTGGTAGTGGTTGTGGTGATGGTGAGCCCACTGGTCCGAGTCCGTAGAGGCGAGACCGGCGAGCCCAGATCGAGTTCTCGGAAGTCGGGCTTGTTGGTGTTATCGGCATTGTCTTTGTCGTCATCGTCGTAGCTAAGTGATTTTCGAAACCGATCGGCGAGTGTATCAAACCCCAGTTCTGATTGGGATTTCCCAGAATACGACATTTTTCAACACAAACACAGACCTAAACTCTCTCCCTCTCTCTATGAATGTATATGGGTTTGTATATTTCTCAGTTTCTCTCGCAAGGTCTCTGTGTTCTCTCCCCTTCTCCCACTATCTCAGCATCGTCGGTCCATGGACCTACATGTTCAACATCAATTTGTGATACTGTAGAGTGAGAAACAGGAAGAGAGAGGTCTTGAAGAAACATGCAGAGATAGAGAAGGGGAGAGAAAGAGAGAAATAGATGGGAATCTCGTGATTTAAAAGAGTGAAGCAAAGAATGAATGTGAATGTTAGAGAGAGAGAGAGAGAGAGAGAGAGAGTTCAACAGAGGAGTCTGGAGGGGGGGCGGCGGGGGAAGAGAGAAAAAGAGAAGGAAAAGAAAGAGCTTTTATTTTCTTTTCCTTTCCCTTCACCTGCTGCTTCACGAGACAGGTTCGCTCTCTCTCTCTCTCTCTCTCTCTCTCTCCTCTCTCTTCTGTTTTATTATTTTCCTCTCATCTCTACTTTGATTACTCCATTTAACTTAAAAAAATGACTTCCTATATTTGTTTTTTCTCCAAATAAATCAAGTACCTACTCTCATCTACGCAGTGTGAGAGTCAACCTCTCCTCTTTTTTTTTTTTTTTTTTTTTAAGTGAGTATTGTTTTAACCAATTTATTTACACTTCAATTATTCTCTCTTTCGTATAATCAAAAATTGATTATTCACGTCAAAACTATGATATTTATAAAGGATAAATTTTTCATGATCTGACCTCAAAAAACTATCAACATTCAAACTTAAAACATCTAAATTTATCGTTCATTTATTATTACTTGAACTACTTTTTAAAATTTATATTAGAATTTAGTGGTGATCGATTGTTATGCTAACTTAATTAGGTTCGCTCTCGAAAAAATAATAATTGCTGTCAATAGTCTCATAATTTTATTAATAAAAATTTATCGAAGTGATATTTAGAGACTCTTATTTGTCCACCCCTCCTCTTCAATCAACAAAAAAAAAAACTACCTTTAGGTTGAGAGTCAACATCTTCAATTACGAGAACTTGCTGATGCATTGGTAAAAACCCAAAATTTCGCCCAACTGCCATGTAGAAAATTATCATATTCTTGAGAGGTATGTTCACATTGATCTTTTGCTTTTGGAAACTTTGTACAACGTTATACAGAATTCGCTTGTATACAATAAATTTTACTTAAATTTAGTTATTTATTGAAAGAAATTTCAAAAAGTAAATTTCTAAACTTCTGAAACTCTTAAACAAAACATTTCCAATAACTCATATAAATGCTTCAACAAAAAAATAAATTTTTTTATATATAGAAATTGGGTTGAAAATTATGCCATAATTTTTGAATAAAAGTTACAAGTTTTTCACGCAGACATTTGGCAGAAATTTATACTATGAAAATAAAAGCAAACAAAAACATTTATATGGTAAAGATTTAGTGAATCTCATGAAATCTTACAATCTTGTAAGGAAATCTATCATACAAGTGTGAGAGTCCAATCTTTAGCAAACAAACAAACGACGAGACATAAAATTTGCATCTTTTGTAATTGATGGGGTGTATCATTTTCTCAACTAGTTTTATAATCAGCGTTTCCAACATTTTCAATCCTACTTACATTGCATTCGATGAGACTTGAACCCCCCCCAGATGACAAGAACATCATTAGATAGGGTTGTTAATCAAATTGAAGTATTGGAGTTTGACTTGAGTTCAGTTTGATTTCAATTCGTTCAAGTTCGGTTCGTTTTTTAAATAAATCTTAACTTGAACAAGTTTTTAAACTCGTTTAAATAACGAGTCCTACAAACTCAACAGATTTGACTTATTTATATACAAATACTTGAACTCGGTTAGAGCTCGACTTATTTTTCATTCGTTCAAGTTCAGTTCATTTTTTAAACGAGTCAAGTTTTATTATTTAAATGTTATTATTTTAACACGTACCGATGTAGATTGTTGATATGTTACAAACTTTATTATTTAACATAATTATTATATCTTTAGAGTTATTTATTTTCTCTTTATGGGAAAAAATTTCTTCTTTTGAAATGGATAAATCTTTTTTTTTTTGTTACCATTACTTAAAACTACAAAGTACAAACCCACTTGAAACAGCACAAGCCCATTGTAAAGGATTTACGTGCTGGTATTCTCATTTCCCTTTAATTGGGGGGACCAGGAGGTTGGACCCACATGGCAAAGTCGTTTGACTAATTGTAGATTTTTGGAAAAGACTTAGACATGGGCATGCACATTGTATACCGACTACGGTACTAAAAAAAAATTAGTATTGTATCTATAAAATTTATTATTTTAATAGATATTTTTATAATTTTTATGACTCGTATTAAGTTTAAAAATTTTTTTTTTTTTTGAGTTTTTACCATTGTTGTGGAAATTATTTTTACTATTTTTTTATGATACAAAAAATTATTATGTTAAATCACATTTATGAATATTTTTATCACTATTATGGTAATTAATTTTATCACTTTTTTTAATATCACAACAATGATAAAAATATCTATAATAATAATAATAATTTTTATAAATATGATAAATTAAGTATAATTCGTGCTTAAAAATACAATAAAATATAAATAGTTTTGAGAGAAATATTAATGATCGTTAAATAAATTTATTTAAAATAATTAAATAAATTTATTAAAAATTACTATATTTTATAAGATGCATATCGATACGGTACCGAAATTTCTATGGTACCGTAGACAACTCCTTTAAACTATTTCTTTTTTATATTTTTGACACGAGTATTATTGCTAGATTCCTGTACTTTCTAGATTTTTCACTTTCTTACGCAAGCCAGAAGCTAACACAAGGATTTTCTGGCCCTTTCAAATTCCTAAAGTGCCCATCCTCCATGGAATTTCGTTTCCATCAATGCCCCCATACTGTTCGTGGATTTACGAAAAGAGAGACCATACAAATGAACTTAATTTGAAAATTTAATTTAATATACTAATTAGATTATTTGTAAGTTTTAATGTAAGGTAAAATATATTTTTAATCCAATAAACATATAAATTAAATTCCTAAATTATATCCCTAAATTAGATTTAAATATCATTTTTTCTTACAAAATTGCTTTGAAAAAAGTTAAAACTCCACTATTTTTTATGAGCAAACCTGTAAAATAAATTTAAAATATATGCAATCATCCGTCAATTATAATTATTGATTAAATCTGAGAGTCATCAACAATGGTTGAATTCGTAATGTTCGAGTTTAAGATTTGTTCTGTATTCAACCCCACACTGTTAGACATTCCTTTGTTAGGTTATACAATTATACGTATGATTCACTGAAATTGTAGATGCAATTAATATAAAATTAACAAATTTCGGATTAAAAATAAATTAACTCATCAAATAAAAAAATGTGAATTTATTTACTAAACACATGACAGAAACTCAATATAATAACAAATTTATTACATAATAATACAAATAGAATTAATTATAAATACCACCCATTTTTCTCATCTTGCATCAATAAAGCCAATGAAGTGTGGCAAAATTGTCAACGTCAAAGATACGGGTAGGGGGCCCAAAACCAAGGCAATGGCATTTCGGTGAAATCAGTCAAGGTAAGGGGTATTTTGATAAAATAAGGTACACTAGCGTGTTGACAGCAGCAGCTGGCCATGTGCTCAAGAATGCCCTGCCAGCTGGCCAATCAGGAAACCCTACGATTTTACGATGGCCTCCAGCTAAGCAGATAACGGAAAGACGTTAAAGTTTTCAGCGGTCATCGACGGAATATTCTACTGAGTTTGGAAGATTTCGTTAAAATTGACGGAGACGGAGAGGAACCGATGGTGACAGCAGATAAGTAGCCATCATCGTGTGGTGGCAGAGGCGTGGAATGATGACCAGGCGATCCTCCTCCCATTCCTGCCACGTCATCACCAATCACTGCCTTGAGCAAAAAAAATCTGGTGCAGTGTGGTGTACCACTTGATACGTGTAGCTGCCACTGAGATGATTTACTTGTCTACCCCTATTTTTAAACTTTTCTTCCTCCATGAAAAAATTATTTATATAATATTACAATTAATAAATTAAATTCTAAACTTATAAAAACACAAAAGTCAAGATTAATTCAATATTCATCTATTTTTATCCAATAATATAAAATTCACCCAAAAAAATATTTTTACTCAAAAACTTCATGTTCACTGCACGACCCCAAATTATCAGGCAATTCCATTAATTCATACCTATAGGTCCCTTCTCTATTTTTTTCCTCTTTTTTATTTAATTTTTAAATTGCTTGATTAAAAAAAATTAAATATTATACCATTAATGTTTAATTTTTAATATTGCAAAGTATATTTAGATAGGAGATTATTACTAATTACATTATTTTATAATTTATTTGTTTTTATTTTATTTTAAAAAAAATTGATTTAAATTAGGTTAAAAAATTTTAGAAACATATTTTGTAAATACATTTTCAAATGTAATTTGAGAACAAGAGACGTGGGTTTTTGCTAGAATAAAATTGAGGAGGCCACGTTGAATTTTTATTTTTTACTTTTTGATTGATTGTGAAAAATAAATTAAAATAAAATAAATAATCTTTACACATTTCAAAATTTTATTACAATATTATTAGTAGAGGCGGCCAAGCCAGCTTTGGGCCAGCCTGGTAAGGACAAGGGCCTACGATCTAGGTCCACTAGCTGAGCTGGGCCTACGCAAAAGACTTGTAATTTTACCTTGACCGGTCAAAACCGTATCTGATTCTACCCCAGGTGGAAATTGTCCTCGTCGTTGCCAAAAAGGAAAATATTAAATTTGTTTTTCAAGATATACTTGTACTAATCACCAATGGTTTAGACCCCTCGTCGTAATATAAATTTTAAGTGTGCATAGTAATTTACAAATCACATGCATTAGTTAATCTAAGAATTGACATATAGACATAGAAAACCTTGGAGTTTTGTGCATTGTAACAAAAATACTACTTTCAAGATAATTTTTGAAAAAAATAATTTTTAAAAAATTAGAAGCCATATCAAGTCGGAAATTTTATATTTGTTGATATCTTCCTCAAAAAATCGGAGGGGTGATAATGAATGGTCGAGTCTTATTTAGAGATCTATATCATAAGAGAGAGAGCAAAAATTTCAAAGAATTACTACGATAAGTAAAATAAAACTCCAATTCTTGAAAACTTTCACTCTATCTATATCGTTCAAGTATCTCCTTAATTGAAAGAGTACGGAAGAAGCTTCATTTTGTTCTTAAGGTTAGTGCAAAGAGAGTCAAAGTATTCCCCTATTTTTTTTTGCGGGATTCATTGGAGGATCTATATTTCCTCTTAATTTGCTATTAATAGATATTATTTTTCTTGTTTTCTTAGATTTTTAACTCAA